TAACCTAACTATTTATAAGAATTTTGGTCGTTTTATTTCATCAAAACAACGGCTGCTTACAAACCTTATTTGGTGCATAAGTAATGATACAAGCAGAAAAGGATCATTCTTGTATAATGGTATTAGGATCGATAGAGTGAGCACCTAATCCGTGAAACACTAATTACCAAGAGAAAATGAACTAAGAGAAGGATTCCTACCTATATAGCCTTGTAACCATCATGTGCACACTTCGACGCTATTTTTAGAATCATTGATGCTATTTTTAACTCGTTACCATGCTCGCGCGATAATCATGCTTCCCTTTAATGCCTCGTTTTAGGACACGAAAAGCGCCATATTTCGCTACGTCCACGACAAAAACACAGGCTTTGTTTACTGCAAGACTAGAAGCCGCCTACCCGCAAGAAATCAACCAATCAGGTTCTTCGCTCAAAATATCTCCAAGGTAAAAATAGCATCAAACTGTGCACATGATGGTTACAAGGCTATATAGGTAGGATTCCTTCTCTTAGTTCATTTTCTCTTGGTAATTACTAAATAGTACAAAATAGTGCTAGTTAAACAATAGAGTGCAAACAATTAATCCGTGAAACACTGATTACTAAATAGTACAAAATAGTGCTAATTAGTATATGTAACAGGACTCCATGCTGTCCAATTAAGAAATAATTGGACGAGGAAAATTCTGAGGACTTCCAAAATTGGATGAGGCCGTAGCCCGAGTCCTATTTGGCAGTCAGAGGAATTTTTCGAGTCTAATTATTTCTTGATTGGGGAGCATGGAATCCCATTACCTATTAATTATATAGCTGCCTATTTAATCCCATATCAACAAGACCTGTCCAATTAAGAAAATGATTGGACAGTTACCTATATGGGATTTATGAGAAGCTGTATAATTAAACAATAGAAAACAATGGAATTTGCATGAAATTGTGCTATTGTCACGTGATCATCCTATGTACGTAGTCATGTCACGTGATCATCGTATGTAAATAGGCATCATATCACGTGATCATTGTATGTACGTAGTCATATCATGTAATCATCGTACGTAGTCATATCACGTGATCATCGTATGTACGTAGTCATATCACGTGATCATCGTATGTATATACATGTAGTCATCATATCACGTGATCATCGTATGTAC